TTCTCGATTGGGGAGGGGAAATGAATCGGGAGGGGGTCTCTATTCTCGGTGGGAGCTCATGTGTGTTGAACTGTTTTGAAAACCTGGCCCTAGACCTTGTTTCTGTTTGCACCCAGAATGATCTAAGGGTTTTTTAATCTTAAGGATAGAAGTGGGTGCTGTAAATCCCTTTTCCCTCAGTGCATTAACTGACCTCTCATAACTATATTGACTTTTAAAGGCTCTTAGAAAGTTATGAAGGTTCAAATAAGCCCTGCCAAGTGTAAAGGCACTGTTGCCCCCTTACTAACATTCAGTGGGGGTGTTTTAGTTGCTAGCTCCCAGTACTAAAAAGGGGGAAGGGTCGATGGGGAATCAGGACCCTGAGACTGACAGCCCCCAGGAACAATGGGGAGAGGCCAATGCTCCAGGTCAGCCTGAATGACAGGGCGAGCAGGCTAATCAGGGAGTCAGGAAGCCAGGGAGGTCCCGTCCTCTGTGTGAGCTGGATTTGCCTGGATCAGACAAAGTGGGGCCGAGCTAAGGAGAAAGCAGGGGCCTGAGCTGAGCTGAGCTGGGGAGCAGAACTGTGCTAGATCTAGAGTGCCCGGAAAAGCAGCCCAGAGAGAGCAGACCTGTGTCCTGGGAGCAGAGCTGTAGCCCCAAAGCCAGAGGCACAGCCCAGAGAGAGCAGACTTGCCCTGGGAGGAGAGCTGCAGCAACCAGAGATAGAGGGGCCAGAAAAGCAGCCCAGGAAGCAGGTCAGTGCTGAGAGCAGAGTCACAGAAGCAGCCTGCAGAGCAGACCTGTGCTGGGAGCAGAGCTGCAGCAACCAGAGGCAGAGGGGCCAGAGAAGCAGCCCAGGGAGCTGGAGGCAGAGCAGCAGCAGCCGTGCAGAGACCGAGAGGTGCAGCTGGGGCTGGAGCAGTCTGGAGCTGAGTGCGGTGAGCAGCTGGGGAGACCGAGGGGGACCCTGGGCAGCGGGCCCAGCACAGGGAGACGCCTCAGCCAAGGGGCTCTGCAGGCCAGGCTTGGATCGTAATCCCGACAGGGCGGGGGCGACACTGGGAAGAAGGGTCCTACCACTTAGAGCCTGAGAGCGTGTGGCCACCACCAGAGCAAGTGTCCAACCCACAGCATCCCTACAGCACAGCCAGGGCTGGAGCAGGAGGCCTGGGACTTACAAGGAACAGACTGTGAACTGCCCTGACGTTCCAGAGACACTGTTTGTGATGTTCCCTGCCACAGAGCAGGTTGATGTGTTTCCTTTAACCTTTCCCATTTTTCCTTATTCTTTTTAAAATTAATTGTTGATTAAATAACTTGCATTTGCTTTAAATTATATGTAATGGTCAGTGGGTCAGAAAAGTAGCCAGTGCAGAAAGAGTACCCTGGAGTGGGGACACCCTAGCCCCAAAGCCCGAAGTCTCATTGAAAGTCAGTGGAACTTAGGGTGAAATCCGTGCTCCATGGAAATCAATGACAAAACTTCCATTAATTTCAGTGGAGCCAAGATTTCTCCCTCAAAGTATATCTACACTGCAATTAAAAACCCAGAGCCAGCTTGTGCCACTGATTCAGGCTTGTGGGGCTGGGGCTAAGGGGCTGTTTAATTGTGGTGTAGATGTTCAGACTGGGGCTGGAGCCTTCGAGGTGAGAGGGTCCCAGAGCTCAAGCTTCAGCCTGAACCCCAATGGCTACACCACAATTAAACAGCCCCTTAGCCCAAGACAACTGGCGCAGGACAGTGTTTAATTACAGTACAGACATACCCTAAGTGTCTAAGGCCCAGATTCTCAAAGTATATAGGCTCCTAACCTCTATTGATTTCAGTGGTGCCTAAGTCACTTTGGAAAATCAATGTTTTCCAAAATTGAATCCATTGTCCCTTCTGTTTAGTTTCAAGGTCTGGTGTTTGTTCTGCTTTTCTTAATCACTGTAAATGATTTCTCCCGCTATTTAACTGCTGAATATTGGTAGGCACAGATTATTTCCCACAATGATGGCGTTTTCTGTAAGTTATAGTCCAAATTGAAGGTGCAAGTAAATGACATCTTTCTAAGAAGGAAAGGTTTTTTTACAGCCTTGACATTTAGGGCTGAATTGATAGTCGTATTACAGTAGCGCCTAGAAGTCAGAGCCCAGTTCAGGACCCGGTTGTGCTAGTCACTGTACAAAAACAAGGTAAGAGGCTTATAAGCCTCAATGAGAAAAGAAAAGGAGGACTTGTGGCATCTTAGAGACTAACCAATTTATTTGAGCATGAGCTTTCGTGAGCTACAGCTCACTTTTTGCGAATACAGACTAACACGGCTGTTACTCTAAAGCCTCAACGAGTTTACAATCTAACTAAAACGAGACAGACAAAGGATGGGAGCAAAACAGAGGCAGGAAGTGACTTGTCCAAGGATACACAGCAAGTTAGCGGCAGAGCTGGGACTGGAAGCCGAATTTCCTAATTCTCACTCCAGTACGCTACCCCCTGGGCCACTCTGCCTCTAATTCAGGAGTGAGGCAGGAGGTGGTGTAAGTTGGATGTTGGCAAGTGGTACAAGTTAGTCTGAGTGCATGGAAATGTAAGGGAAAGTAATTTACATGACAAGAGGCCAGAATAATGTATTTGTGAATTATAGGGTGGCCTGTTTTAACTTAGCTGCTTTTCCTGCAGTATCTTCTTCTGCATCCTCCTTCATATGTAAGTGACTTCAATGTCATAGAATATCAGGGTTGGAAAGGACCTCAGGATGTCATCTAGTCCAACCCCCTGCTCAAAGCAGGACCAATCCCCAATTTTTGCCCCAGATCCCTAACTAGCCCCCTCAAGGATTGAACTCAAAACCCTGGGTTTAGCAGGCCAATGCTCAAACCACTGAGCTATCCCTCCACCCTTCCCTTTGACTGCTATATAATTTACCCCAGGCTACCCATCACCTACCTATGAGGTTTATGAAAGAGCTCCCCATTACTTCTAGGAAGCAGACTGCAGAGTTTGTTTGCAATGATAGCAAAGAGCTACACCCGATATCTAAAAACAGGAAAAATGAGGCTAGATGTTCAAAAAAATGCCTTAACAGTCAAAGCAATTACACATCAGAAGGGTCTGCCTGAGGGAGTTCACAGAGGTGCTTTCACAGGAGGTACTTAAGTGTAGATGGCATAAAACTTTTGAAGGAGTAGGTCATTCCATACCCTTCCATATAATGGCCCATGAAATGATTTGCAATAAGCAAGAAATTACATGAATTCCTTTTTGGTGTGTTGGTACATTGTTGTTATAGTGATGCTAATTATGATTAACTTGTTTGACTTTCATGTGGGTGCAGCGTGTAACCCTTGAGGAACTCAGTTGAAGTGTAATGTCAAAAAGGCTCCAGCATTGGTAAAGAGCTAGAAGACACATGCTTCATTTTTCTCAAATCTAAAGAGAGAATTCATAGGGCTAATAAATAATATTTCTCTGTCTATACAGTTTGGGACAGCTTGGGATCCTCTAGCTTGCAGGTCCATCGTGTGTTCACGCCCCTGAGCTCAGGAGCAGGCTGTAAATGTGGCCAGTTGTGACTTTATAACAACATTTAATAAAAGGAAAATCATACATTATTGGAAATAGAAGCGCTCTATTTGCAAATTCCTCTTTAAAATCGGATAGCTCCTTCATGAATTAGTAATTATCTCAGTATTTAAAATACAGTGTTTCAATGCAAAAAAAAAAATGTCATTAAGTATCATATAGGTGTCTTGCAAACAAAATTCACAGGTATTAACAGCTCACAGCTCCCCCATCTGGCTATCACTTCAGTGCTTTAAGTACCATGTAGGTATCTTGCAAACAAAAGTAGCAGGACTCTGTTTAGCTGGGTAATAGAACATTTACTGGGGATACTTTATTACCATGTTACCCTAACCCCACTTCTCAGCCCTCCAATGAAACTAATGTATGTTTTGTAAGGCTAAATGGATAAACTGATGAGAAATTATTCAGGTGTAAAGAGCATGGCTAAATAGTGCTACGTAGTTGAGAAATTAGTTCACTATATGCCTCATTCCAGAAAGCAACAACCTCTAGGCTTTCTGCCTAGACACTGCCTAGATATGGCACTAAATGGCCAAAGCAATCTGCCACAGGGAAATGCTAAATTTTGCAACATGTTCAGAGCAAGAACAATGGTCAAAAAATAATTAGGACAAACAGAGGTTTTTACATGAAACACATTCATTTAGAAATTGATGAGAAAACTTCAGCTGGGGAATACTGGATATTTTTTAGGGCAGATGCAATTTCAACTTCCCTCCTTTTAGCTTTTCTCATGAGTCTTACAAGCTCATTACATTGCTCGAAGAAGCAAACAACTCCTAGGTAATTTGATAGCACAGGGTAGTTATTTTACAAAGTCTGTTAAAGCACTGAATTCATCTTAGATTAAAATTCTCCCATTCTTGCAAGGCTAGTGGGAATTTGCATTAAATTTTATAGATTCTTGCAACTTTGTACCCCTCACTGGCTTAAAACATTGATATTTTAAAAGGCAAAAGATCCAATAGAGGGGAAATATTGAACCAGAAATAGTTTAATCTATTGTCTATATAGGTGGCAAGCCTTATAAAATTATGCATAAGTAGTAAATAGTTCTGGAAACCCTTCTAATCTTATTTTGTACTGTGAAAATGCAATTATAAATGTCCAGAAGACAGATATACGATTCCCTTCATCATGCTATCTAGCCACTAGTTAAAATGTCTCATTCCTGTAAAGTATGGCTAGCATAGTTGTTTATAAGACCGCAGAAGGAGTGTATTTTGAAACGCAACAATGCACTATAGCATTTCCTAGGATTATATTGTTTTCTTCATAAAAATTGTTTACCTGCTTTCCCTAATGAAATCAATTGCAAACCTCCCATTGACCTCCATGGATCTAGGATTTAGCCCTGAGAAAGTTGAATCCAAAAAAGACACAGCTGAATTTCTTGGGGGAAATCAAATAGTTCCCGTGAAAACAAAGCAGATGAAACAGAACTTACCTTTAAAGAAGGACAGAAACAAAGATGCCCACAGATACAATCCGGAGTAAACAAATCCCAAACACTTGTCAGTGAGCATTGTCCAAACAGAATCGGAGTGCCACTTCTAAGCAGGCAGCAAAGCAGAATGCTGTCTTTGTGACAGCACCAAATGCTTGATAGATTCAATGATTAACAGTGCTAATAAGCCCTTCAATCAATTTCCCACCGTAGGAGGAAAGTACATGTGCCCAGCTGTCCTTTCAGTCTAAGGAAGCCAAGTTCAGTGCAGCTTAAGTAAATCCAAGTGCATGCCAGGGCTTGCTAGGTTTTTTTTTTCTCTCCTGGTGCTCTGCACCTTTTCTAGTGCAGAAACAAATGCCAGTGAGACTGCACAAGAGGGGTGTGGGTAAAGGGGAGGGGCAGCAAAGGGCCAGCGCTGCCTGGGAGAGATGTTCCACGTCCCCACTGTCTGTAACTAACTCCGAGGCCGCACGTCAGCTTTGGTTCCAAGGCAAGTACTAGAGTGCCTCTAGAGCTACTTCTCAGGCAAGGCGAGCTGCAGCCCCCCCCCCCCCCCCCCCGTTCCCTTTACCTGCCAGTGTGATTTCTAGCAGGGAACTGGAGCCTGCCACTGTGTGGAATTGAATGCAGAGAAAACCTCCGCTGTGTGGAAGTTCAGATTTTAGCAGCACAGATGTCAGAAAGCGGAGGCCTGGGGGCCTCAGCTTGTCTTCACTCTGCCCCTTTGCATGTGTGCATGACAGTGCAGCCCTTCAGTCCTGGCTCCAACCAGAAACAAACAGCTGTCTTACAATGCTCCTCGCTCCTGCTCCGGCTTGCTCTCAGCCAGGAGATTTTTGCACACCTTCTGGTCCCTTTCTCTTTTTCGCAGCTCCACTTTAATGGCCAAGCACCAGCAATAAAATATTAGACGTGAATAACGTGCACTTCAAACCTGGCATTTTCCTTGATTCTTCTCCCAGCCTCCATCTTCCGCTTTCTCAGAGATGCAGTTGGGATGGATTGGCATGCTCCTGCATTGCCACACACAAGGCAACTTCACACAGTCAGACTCTGCGCTGTGATTCCAGCAGGGGGCATCTCAGGCCAGCCCCTCAAGGGATCCTCCGGACCCCCCAAGAACCGTCCCACAGCTGTTCTCTTTCTGACCAGGGCTGGTGAGGGACGTCCCCTGGGTTGGAGGAATCCGCTCTGCGGGTGCATTACTGCCCAACTCTCTTTCAGCACCTGTTGGGCTCGTCCATCTCCAGGGAATACCCTCTCTCAGACCTGGTGCTTTGACTGTCACTAAAACAGAAGGGCTTTGTGTGACATGGGGAGGCAGCCTGGTCTAGCGAGTAGGGTTTTGGATTTGGATTCGAGACCTACTCTGCCACTGACCTGGTGTGTGACCTTGGGCAAGGCCCTTCTGCGCTCTGTGCCTCAGTTTCCCTTCCCACATTTTTTCCATCTCCTCTGTAAGTTCTTGGAGGGGGGGGCAGAAACTGTCTCTGTGTTGGTACAGCACCTAGCACAATAGGGCCCTGAGCTTAGTGGGGACCTCTAAGTACCGTAATCTATGTAATCTACCGTAATCTATGTAATAAAATTCCAGGATTGTCACTCTTTGTGTCACTCTGAGCCTAAAATGTCTGTTGAGTCAGGGTGAAGCTATGGAAACAGCTACAGGCAGGGTTGAGAGCTCTTTTTGTTCAGAATATCTTTGGGTTAAATCATCACTGGGATTTGCAATCTGTTATTGTTCATTTTTTAAGATCTCAGCCATTTTCTTTACGAATTACACCCCTGTGATAGTGTCTATGCCACATGTCTGTGCCATGCCAAGACTCCTAGACCACTGTGATATCAGAGGTAACTCAACCAATTACCACCCTTACTCTACAACTAATTTGAATATAACAATTTCATTGGTTGTATGAGGGGAGACTGCACATACGGTGAATTACTTGGCCCTGCTGCCACAGATCTTCAAAATCACCCACACTACAACACAAACACAAACAGCCCCCTCCCACAGCACCCACCCTTTATTTGCCACCCACAACTGTCTAAGCACAACACAACCAGCACACAATAACTCCAAGCATCACTCTGAAGTCTCAAATGTCTGTTGAACCAGTGTGAAGCGGTGGAGACAGCTACAAGCATGGCTGAGAGCTTGTTTTTGCTTTGACTAGCTCCAGGTTCAAGCATCGCTGGGATTTACCGTCCAGTTTTTAAGCTATTAGCCTTTTTTAAAATTTTTTAAACACTCACACACACGTATGAGAGCGTGGGCTTTCAGCTACTGGTATATAACAATAATCTTGTGACAGCCCTACATCCGGTGTAATCACACTCCAACTTCTATTCCCAGTCTGGCCAGGGTGGGTGAGGAATCTCCCCTGGGTTGGTACAATCAGTTTAGTTGCATATTACCCAGGTCTCTTTCAGCGTCTCTTGGGCTTGTCCCACTCCACAGAATATCCTCAGTGAAACTGTAGTGTGTTTAGTGAAGTGGCTCAAACCATGGTCAGCGTTAGGCACATCAGGGCTCTGTGCCCTGTGGCTTGTCTCACATTTTGGGGGTATAGAAGGAGGTGTTCCATTACCTGTAGAGCTCATTGCTAGGGTGGGAAGAATTCAGGCATTTTCATATTTACTGTTTTTTCCTCTTTCCTTCACCCCTTTTTCTGACTTCACAAAAAGCTCTGGCTGCAATCACGTCGTCCCTCCCCCGCTGCTTTGTCCTGCACCTCCGAGAGGATCCTGGCTAGCTCCAGCATAGCACTGGCTCAGTCACAACCAAGTTGGAGCACCTAAAAGCGTTCAGGGCTTCTTCCAGAGATCCCCATCAATCCAGCTTCCAGGGCAGTGGGGAAGGCCTCAAAAGGTTTCTCTTGCTCAGGGGATCCAGAGTCAAGAGACCCAGCTGGGCTGCAAGGCTCTTCACTGGCACTGCCCAGCTCATGCTAAGTCCAGCAAGATAGACGGCAACTCTTGCTGAAAAGGATGTAGAGGTCCTGGTGCTATCCAACTGACCATGAGCTGTCCATGCAATGCTGTGACTAAAATGGCTAATGTCATCCAGGGGGAGATTGAGCAAGAGGTGGTATTACCTCTTAATATAGCATTGGTGAGACCCTGAAGTATTGCGTCCAGTTCTCGTGCCCACATATAGGGGCCATACCTAGGAGAGGCCTGGGCAAGCATGAGAATAGATGGCCAGTCCAGAGTGCCCTGTGCTCCAGCCATCCCTTCCTGATTGATTGCCCCTTGGGGGCTATTGCAACCAGGGCATAATTTAGAGCAACCCCAAAGCATCTCTATGCTACTCTGGGGGCCAAGTTCTCTGATCCTGTGACCAACCACAGTTGGCACCTCTGTGGCTCCCTGGCCCTGCTGGGCACAGCAGAACACTGAGCCCCAAGGGGGAGCTCAACACTGCATAATGGGGACTACCCTCTTTCCAAAGCCCATCCACACTGTGGGTAGCACACCAAGGGATACAGTGGCACATATTAGATGTGATTGTTTATTGCAGGAAGATGTTGCTAATGGAATTACTCACCTCCATAACCTTGTAAAATCAGACACATCAGACATTGCTTTCACAATTTTTTTTTTAATCGCTTACTATTGTCACCAGTGCACATTAGGAAAGAAGTGTTGCAGAGACCGCAGCTGTTTCTGATGCTGTGCTGGGACTTCAGTCCACCCCTACAGTCATCATAATTAAAGATTGTTATTCTCTTTTCCTGTAGAGACATTCTGGCACTTAAATCAACTCAGAGAATAATTCCTTTTATAACACAATGGGGTTTTTTTTTTCTTGTTTCTAAAATACGATGTGGGCTAAAGCTCTTTGGACAGCTAAAGCCTCTGGCTGAAGTGCTCCTTTGCGAGAAGAAGAAGAATGAGGGGGGGATTTGATAGCTGCTTTCAACTACCTGAGAGGTGGTTCCAGAGAGGATGGTTCTAGACTATTCTCAGTGGTGGAAGAGGACAGGACAAGGAGTAATGGTCTCAAGTTGCAGTGGGGGAGGTTTAGGTTGGATATTAGGAAAAACTTTTTCACTAGGAGGGTGGTGAAACACTGGAATGCGTTACCTAGGGAGGTGGTAGAATCTCCTTCCTTAGAAGTTTTTAAGGTCAGGCTTGACAAAGCCCTGGCTGGGATGATTTAATTGGGGATTGGTCCTGCTTTGAGCAGGGGTTGGACTAGATGACCTCCTGAGGTCCCTTCCAACCCTGATATTCTATGATTCATACCATTGACCTACAGGTTTGTTGTAACCAGTCTCCATCCACCTGCCTCTCTTCATCAAAGTTCGTTGATAGTATCAAAACAATAGCCAGTAAATATGGAAAACCAGTCTCCCCCATAAATATGAGCATATCTCTGAGCTTCTAGGATTCTGGAGCCCAGGGAATGACAGTGAAGGGGTTAAGGAGAAGGGTCACCCTGGAAGGGAGGTCTATTGATGCTGGAAGTAGGGATGCAGGAGGTACTGCCACACCCCCTGGCTTGAAGTGGTTTCCATCGTATATAGGGTTTACAGTTCGGTTCAATGTTCTCAGCACCCTACCTCAGCAATTGTTCCAGGGCCCCTGGGAAGGTCTGAGATTAATAGGCTTTGTTTTACTAAAAGGATCCAAGAGAGATCAGGGCCCCTGTTGCTCTAGGCACTGCATAGGTGCCAGAACTAGGGGTGTGCTGCCGTAAGGATACGGCCTTTTCCTATAGCCATATTGTAAGGCCTGAGGCCTTTGTCTGTGATCATATTAGGAGGGCAGCAGCTATTAGCCAAGAAACAGGAAGTCATCCTCACATTCCATCTAAATTACATTATTTTAATGTAATAGCAGACTTAAAAAGGCAATCCTATCCTAATAGTACCCACCATTACCAGATTTAAAAAAACAGATCTTAAGGTGGTTAAAGAAAACTTAGTTTGATAGCATTCTGTCTGACATGAAATCACTTAATAGTTCTGGCTGTGAAATCCTCATTTCTTTATGGTACCCACTTCCCTATTTTTTTGTCTGTATGGTCTGATTGATTGTCTGTTACTAATTAATTTTGCTAGGTGTAAATCAATTAAGGCGGTGAGGTAGGATTGGTTAGAGAATTGTTACAACATGTTAGGATTGGTTAGTAAAATGATTGATTAAGGTATAGTTAAACAGGACTCAAGTTTCACTATATAAACTGGGGTCCAAGAAGAGGACCAGCAGAAGAATAAGGAGGATAGCTAATGTGATGCCAATTTTTAAAAAGGGCTCCAGAGGTGATCCTGGCAATTACAGACTGACACACGCCTGACTTCTGTACCAGGCAAACTGGTTGAAACAAAATTGTCAGACAAAGATTAATGTAATTTGTTGGGGAAGAGCCAACATGGTTTTTGTAAAGGAAATTTTGCCTCACGTATCTACTAGAACTCTTTGAGGGGGCCAACAAGCATGTGGCCCAGGGGCTATAGTGTACTTAGATTTTCAGAAAGCATTTCAAAAA